TCAAGTAGAAGATAGATCTTCAGTTTGGTAAACAAGATGTATATGAGTTTTGCTCCCCTGTCCAATAGTCTAACTGTTCAGCTAGCATTTTCTAATAAATGACTCCACAGTGAAGGCCTTCTTGCTTTCGCCAGGCCTGAGATACTGCCAGAGTGCTAGAGCTCAGACAATTGTCGTTCTGGCAGAGACCATCGCAGGCGTACGAAACATCTGTTTTTTACAAATGCCAAGGTGAAGATATCAAGACAATGAGCAGGTTTTTGTTGAACAATCATGCAAGATTCAGCTAGATTACTGAGGATACAAAATGAGTCCAGCTAATGAGTTTCTGTACCCACTTTGTCAAGTTAAGTTGTTACTGGATTGGGAAGTGTGTACTCGACAGGTCGAGGAAACTACATTTTACTTTCCACTGAATTCGTTTTTCTATCTCTCACAGTATAAAAAGTGAAACCAGGTGGCACAATGAGCGAAACGATTGACTGGATCGAACGGTAGACTTTCGTGTATGTGCACCACATACGACATAGCAACGGGCCTTTGATGAAACCGTCACGTACAACTTAAAGTTTATAGAGGTTCGAGCAAGCTTTTGGCTTCCCGTGATCTGATGACCAGCGTGCAATTTTTAACACACCAAGACAGCTGGAGCGCATACTTCCATAGTCCTAACCCAACGACTTAGCAACTACGCTGCGGTCCTTACTTTGATCTCCAATCTCCATATTTCGGTGAAAGTTATTAGCCTGAACGTTAAAATGTACAACTGCGGATTCGCGACTCCTCTTCGACATGTCCAAGCAAAACGTCTAGGTTTTGGTGTAAAAAAACGCGGCTCAGAAAAACAGAAAGTGTCGCTTCCGGTATTTCGGTCTTCAATAAGAGGATGTCGTTTCGGCCCACCGCCTTCCTTTTCCTAGTGAAGTGACACAATTTGCCCTACTTCGACTGCTTTCCCTCGGGCATCGTGCAGTCTTCCCAACTATTGTAAGACCTCGCTTCCAGTTAACTCATTGAGCACTACTCTGATGGCCTACCCAAAGTGGGCAGTGATAATCTTCTCCTCTTCGTTTGCAACAACACGGAATGATCCAATCAGTGACGTGGAACCATTCCACGGTTTATTTCAGCACCAGCTGTATTAGAGATTATGATTTGGCGTTGAAAACATCTACTGCAACTCCAGTCTTGGCAAAAACAGCAAGTTCGTTTAGAAAGAAACGTCCTATAGAGATTTTTCGGTCTCTTGATTGTCACGTTACAACTTCTACACTGTCTACCTAGATCATAGATTATCGTGATACTCGATGTTAGCCTCTGCCGTGTTTTTCGGGACGAGTAAACACATATGTCAGTGCGAAACGTTTAAACATCTTGCTTTTTGTTACACACACAATCACCGATGATGAATGGATGCTGGTTCTGAGGCCAGGAGATCCAAGGAATGCTGGGTCCGAGTGATTCAAATGACGCGCTTTGTCCGCTACTTGTACCAGCAAATTGCCTCGAGTGATCGTGAGAATTGAGCCATCTTTATCTATTCAAACTGTTTTTATCGGGCGACTACTGGTTGATCTGACAGTTGAGTCCTCAATCCCGAATTGCCAGGAGTGACTGAATGCGTGGTAGAAAATGAAACACCACGAAGGGAATGACAACTGATCTGGGTTGTGGTTGAGCGAACCTAAGCCCCAACAGCTTCAGTGCATTTCTGAAGAAACTTTGGCGTATTGAAGCGAGCGTTTAAGTGGAATTCACTAAAAATTTCACAGTATCATTCCCTGTGTACAGAGCGTTGAACGGTATCAGACAACTGCCCGGTGTCGGCACGTGCCTGTTGCAACCAGATAATGCGACAGGAGATGGGTCAGCAATAACTGCTTGTCGATGAACATAAAAATCTCATACTAAATCTTCGGTGACCCGGTTGTACTCAGTGTTTACAATGGTGGAAACACATCACAGTACATTGGGTTTTCCGATCCTTCGTAGCATGGATAAACTATTCGTTTTTATGCAAAAAAAACTCACGGGAATGCGGTTCTCGGCCGAGCAAAACAGACAGTGATGTTTCGGTAGTAAATTCGAACCAAGACGCGCACAAGTAGAGTAGCTGACTGACCCAGTCATGTTGCATCCACACGATAAAATATGTATTAGATCGCTTCTCCAACACCGAGGAAATTTGATTTCAATCCATCAGCTTGAAAGCATCACTAGTTGGCCTAGTGATAGGAATGAAGCCATATCACGTACCCGTTTTTCCAGACCGCTTCTGACCAAAACGAGGACTCATAGTGGTTTATCGCAGCCCAGGGCAAGTCACTCTTTGTTCGCAATACTAATTCGTCAAACTCTCTTTTGTTGACTAAAATCTCGGGTACCAAAGTGGGTACATGACAAACAGTTTAGCGCGAATTACTGCGGACATATTCAAAGGATATCTATCAAACTTCGATTCTGGTAAAACCAGAGATTTCGTGATAAGCTGACAACATGGTTTCACCCACAGAGTGTGCTCTTTACTGATGTGGAGTCGATGGTTATTTTACTGTACTGAACCCCAATAGAAATAGCAAGAACAAGATAGGAAGAGTCGTTGTTTGCTGTTCATGGTGTCGTTTTTTCACCTACCATGGCTATGTATCATCCTCAAATTATGCGCTCAGATTTCAGCGACTTCAAAACGATAGTAATCGGTCCTTAAAGGCTTGGATATTCTCCGATTACTTAAGTGGATCTGACCAATGCGTGGTTCCCAATTCCAGTGACCTCGTCAAAATCATGGGGTTGCGTTGAACAAAAGGTAAATGATGGGAAGGACATAAATAGCCTCAACAATTATCGAAAATGCGTACTTTTAAACTCGGGTGATGCAACGAGCACATACTAAAAATGTCAGTAATTGCTTCAGGTTCAATGACACGTTGCAGAGTAATTCTTGCTGACAGACACGTTGTGGTATAACTTGCATATGGTGCCAAATACAGGCGTTGGTGCCCTCCATAGCCATTCGCAAAACGTGCCATGTCTTTAAAAAAATAACCACAAGTGAGATAAAGAGCACAAGAGTAAACTGCCGAGATGTAGATTCCGGATTTGTCCCCAAGAAGGTGGAAACGGTCGTGGGCTGTCAAACTTGTGAGTAGTTTCCTTTATGAAATTATACTGAGATATCTCGAATATCGTGCCAACTGAAACATGAGGCGGCCTGTGTGCAGCACATTCAGTTGTGGAATATCATAAACGAGAAATTCACTTGAGTCTCTCGTGAGAACCAAATTGATTTGCAAATCAGTGTAATTCTCGAAAACAGTTCAAGTTGGGTTCACGGAAAGTCGGGCACTGCGCCCAACTAATGAGCCCCCAAGAAGGGCGAAACAGGTCGTGGACTGTCGAAGAGTTTTCAGCAACCGTGTGAGTAGTTTCCTCCACGATAACATCACTTTTGTTTACCGTCGGCTGTTTACCGTTCAACGATGTGGAGGTATTTAAGCGGTTGACGAGCGAAGTAATTGCCTGGGCGGTTCATTGTTCGAACTCATTCTCGACACCCGGACTGTTCTTGCTTTAAATCTACAGCTATTCACTTTCAACACCCACCGTTACTTAAGGGTGCCAATCCGTCAACAGTGCGAACGCATTATCTTTCAGTCGAAATCCGAACCACTGTCCTAGAAGCTAACGTCACACATGGTTCATTTTACAGCCGCTTGTTGATTTAGCACGGAAAAATACTTTTCAGTCAGTTGCCACAAGGAATCCGTCGCATGAATCAACCGGTTTGGCTTTTCTATGGTAATACTCTACGAATAAATTAGTATCGTTTTGAATAAAGTGACGTCACACACAGTAGAGACTAACAAACGGTTGAAACATCGAGCCAATAAATACCTCACCTCCATTTATTGCATTATTTAGAGACCAGGTTTGAAGCCTATTCATATCCGTTCGGGAAGCACCTGGGTACCAGTTCAAGTAAAAAGCATTTTTCGAGAAATTAAACTCATTTGCAAATCAATTTGATTTTCACGAGAGACTCAACCGCGTCTCTCGTTTATGATGTTTTTCAACTGCATGTGCTGCACACAGGTAGCCTCATGTTTCAGTTGGCACGATATTCGAGATATCGCAGTATAATTTCATAAAGGAAACTACTCACAAGGTTGCTGAAAACT